AAAAAAGCCACCAAACCTGCAATTTCATTATGGAAAAACAGCAAAATAATTGTTTTACGCTATGGCTCCATGCCTGTTCTCTACCTCCTGAATTCAATACCAGAGAATATATATACTGATAAAAAGCTCCTATTTTCACTCATTCTGTAGGAGAGGAGGAAGATAAACATGCTAGAAACAAAACTGGGGGAAATTGAAAGCACTTTGACAGCTCTTTGTTCGGTCATTAAACACAAAACAGTCATGGAATCTGTTAGGTTGGAAAAGACCTTTAGGATCGATCACCAAGTGCAACCATTAACTGAGCACTGCTAAGTTTTGTCATATAAGAACCAAAACCCACGTCCCTGAGTGCCACATGTTCACCTTTTAGATACCTTCAGGGATGGTGACTCTACCATACAATGTTTTATCTCCTTATCCTGTCACTTGTTATTTAGGAGAAGATAGACTGCCACCTGGCTACAACTTCCTATTAGGTAGTCCTAGAGAGCAATAAAGTCTCCCCCTGAGCCTCCTTTTCTCCAGGCTAAACCACCCCAGCTCCCTCAGCTGCTCCTCATGAGACTTGTGCTCCAGGCTCTTCACCAGCTCCATTGCCCTTCTCTAGAAATGCTCCAGCGCCTCAATGTCTGTCTTGTAGAAGAGAGACCAGATGGACACAAACCCATAAGTTTGCAGAAAGCATTTTCAGATGGGATGATTGAGTTTTGTGCCAGTTTTTTGTAAGCTGATATGCTCCGAGGTATGCAAAACATGAAGAAAATCAAGCTTTTGCCAAAACCTAATACTGTAATTTTCATGCAGACACATTAACCTGTACTTCCCAATCTTACTTGCAGAAAGTTAATAAATAAGACTATGTTGGTTTTCTATTGCCCCCTACAATAACTTTAAAAAAAGGAACAAAACTTCCACCTTCCAAAATTTTAGTAAAATAAAGTTCACATTCAGCTAAGCACCCTTTTATCCTGTTATTTAAGTCACTCCAAATCACTGTTGGCACATTTCTAAATGCTGCGTGCTGAGAGTGGCTAAGCTTTTACAGTTCAGAATGGCAAGAGAGTCTTCATAAAAGATTAATATACTTGAAAAGCAGGTCATTTATTAAAACAACTTTTAAAAGCTTCCTTTCTTAAAAAGTAAAAATTATCTGCCCACCTCCACATCTCATCTGAAAGCATTTGCATACACAGCTGTTCTCCAAATTTCAACCCTGTTCCTTTTTTCATCTTCATGTTTTAAGACATGAATTTAAGACACGAAAGCAGGCATTTAGTGAAACAGTAGTGTGCTTCAGCAAGTGCCTTCTGCTTCCACACACTGATTTATCCTGTCTCCCAGACACCCAGATGCCCTTCTCTCATCCAGAGGGTTGAAGGCTCAGACCTTCAGCCCTAGGGCTGCATGGGATGGCAGTCTGGGGACTTCAGCTTCTAAACCTTCTCGTACCACAGCTGAAAGCTTTCCACAATAGCCAGGGTGAGGACAGGCTTTGTCCCTCCTGGATCTTCCACTGTCCTTTTATTTTACAAATCCTTTTAGGCAGTGCTGCCTGGGAATTGCAAGGCAACACAAGTGGTCTGGATGCCAAAGGTGCAAGACACACACAGGTACCCTGTAACCAAACAGCAGAAGGCAAAACAATAAATATTTCCTAGATAGTGGGCCCATAGCATCCTGCTCACTGGAAATTGTACCACCTTTGCACACTGCTGTCCTCAAGCCAGCATTTTATTTGGAGACAAAGAAATAGCAGGAGAATGCATTGACTCAGATATGACAGAGAAAAAATACAGATAATTTTGGACCAAGAAGTGGATACTTCTGAGATATGTTTGACATCCTGTTCTTCATGAGTGTTTTCAATCACTGCCTCTTCCTGAAGAAGCACCTCTCGCATGCAAATAACATGACACCCCAGAAAATTAAAAGTAATCCATTAAAAAGATTACTATCTTTTCAGGACATGGCAGCTCAACTGTAGCCACAGAGTTACTCTCTTGGGAACAGGCTGTCATGAATACAGTGGTTATAAAAGACAGAACAAGTTGTGGGAAAGTTGCTTTGAAAGGAGGTTAAGCAAGGAGAATATGATGACCTTGGCTGTAAGTTTCAAAGCAGAGAGATGTAAAAGTCAGACACGACAAGGGAAGGAAGACACAGAAAAGAAGAAAGCTGGGAAAACTCAGAAAGGGTGAGACACCAAGAAGGTGGAGATGACTTGCTGTGCCAAAACCAAGAAATAATAGCACAAATACTAGCACTCTCTTACTCTTATCATAAGAAAATCTTATCATCATGAAAATTACTTTAAATTTAGAAGAATGACATTCAAGAGACTACTTTTTTGATCTGTAAATGATTGTTTTTAATGAATTTTTTTTAAAGTCACTGATTATTATTAATCAGTTTTGATGGGCAGCCACAATCAAGTTCCTAAGTGATCAAATGTAGAATCTGCTTGAAGGATGTTCATATCTATCAGGGCAAGACATGGTGTAGTGTAGGTGTCTCCACTTTAGATTGCACTGCAGCCCAAGGGACATCAAGTGAGTATTTAGCAATAATATAGTAACTGTAACAAATGGTAGGACTCAGCTATTGATCACCATTTTCAGGGGGAAAAATAAAATACATTAATGGGTTAATACTTCTAACTGAAATGTGCTTATTTAGAGGTTCACTTAACAGATGCCATCATCAGGAGATAAAAGTCCTTACACTGAACAGAGAATTTTAATGGCCTTTCCCATTAAGCTATGGATGACATATTTCAAAAGGCATATTATTGAAGTCTTTCTGCTGACAGCAAGGAATGTCAAATAAATTCAGAATATCAGTGAATATTTAAGTCTTGGTAACAAGGATTTTAATATAGAGCTATCTTAAAATTCAGGACAAAACACCTTGACCAATTTATTCTCCTGTATAGTACATTTATATTCATTGTCAAAATAGGCAATGGACCCTTACTGTTCATGGGAACAAAAACTCCAGATACTCTTATGTTCTAAGCTTAATGTGTTTAGTTACTGGTGTAGCAACATTACTCACAAAGAACAAGAGTTTTATGGCCGTGGAAAAATGGACCCTCCCAGATTTGTTAGACTATTCTGCTCAATAAAATGTTTCCTATAAACAAATGATCTCTGAATATAATGTACTAAACATTATCACCCCATAATCAATAGGTATCAGGAAGCCTGTTTTTAAGGTTTAGTTCCCTTCCTGTCCTCCTACAGACTGCAATTATTCAGCTCTGTACTGCAGAGCTCCATTAAGCACTTTTGTTTTTCACTGAATGACTAGAATCAAGTGCGTATGGCTTCCACGGATGGATAAACTGCTGTTAAAAGAGGTAAGTCAGCAATACTGATTGGCTCTGTTGTCTGAGCGTGCCTTTTGATTTTTGAATTACTGCCAAAAGCATCATCATTCTGTGTTTACCCTTCAAAAGCCCTCGGTCAGTCACTCAGATGGTGCATACACTCACAGCAGAGCTCTCCTTTGAGAAACAGTATTCATAAAAAAAAGACAATTTCGGTACTTGTATTTGTTGAATGTAAATTTGTGGCACAAATCCTCTATCTCTCATCTTCCACGACATTGTTACTATATAATATGAAGTGATTAAAAGACCAGTTTTACTTTGATGTCCACTTCTTTCACTCACATAAATGGTTTACGTCTATGCAAAGCTGTAAGTAGCTTTCAAAGTGTAATTGTCACACCATTTTCCTCTTCTCTTCCCTCTCTGGCAAGTCAAAGTAACAGAAGCACCATAAACCTCTGTGGTGGTTTCTTCTGTCTGTATGTACGTGTGTGTGTGTGAGTTCATACCAATCACTGTAGACACACTGCATTTTTCTTCACTGCTGTGGCCAGGCCTGTCAGTGCCGGGCTCAGTACTGGCTTTCACAGGACATCACAGGGTTGCATTTCCCTCCAGAGCTGCAACAAGAGTTGTTGTTTAGCTGTGAACACCTACTGTGCACTTTGTACCTGGGTAAATGCCTGCTGGACACAGCAGGAGCATGACCAGAACAGGTCCCTGATGAAGCATTTCAGCTGCTTACAATTCTTAGTGAATTCAACATTCAGCACTCAGGAATCTCCTAAGGCAGAGACAAGCAATGCACTCTTGATGTGAGAGGATTACCTGTTTGCAAAGGCAGATAATATATCATATTCTATTATATAGAATGGTTATTCCCATTTGAATACAAAAACAATCAGACACCAATGATTTGGGTTTTATGGAAATGTACAGATAATAACAAGACCATAAAAAATTAAATACTATTGTGCATAAACGGCAGTAAAGCGACTAATTAAGGCAATTGTCACCTTCTTGTTCAAAACCTTGTGGATTTTTGCAATCCTGTGATTTCTCTTATTTAAATCTCACTGGAATTGCAAGTTCAGCTGACTTTGAAGATCTAGGCCCTGTAAAATCTTATTCGTGTGCACACTGTAGGAAGCAGGGAGAGCAAAGGCAGAGCCTGTGCTGTTCCAAAGGTGCTGCCTAAGATCTTGGGTGAGGAAATGCCCTCTTACAGATAGCTCACAACCCCTTGCGTGATTAAAAGGAAATTCCCAAAAACCTCAGGAAACAAGATCAGAATACTAGCATATGCTCTAATCCATTTTCTCGTTATAAAGGCTTCTTTATTACTGTTTTTGGCTGACAACACTTGAGATAGCATGTTTATCATCATTCTGAAAACACTTGAGAGAGAACAATGTGGGTGCATTTTTTATTTCAGTTTTAACTTCTTTATTTCATTGCTGTACAGCTGCATTACACTTGGCTTTAATCCCTCAAGCATTATTTTCCTTGGCAAAACAGTCACTGAACTGAGTAGAACTTACTATTGGAAAAATATGCTTGAAAAACCAGTGTGATGTCAATGCCAACTGAAACCCATGGAGCTTAAAATGTCACAAATGTGCCTGTAGCTGAAATACAGAGCTCCTCTTTTTTTTTTTTTTTTTGTCTGAGCTAGGAATGTTGTAAGTCTTAGGTTGTGAAGTCAACTGTAAAAATCATAGAGTAGCCTTCTGAAGCTGAATGTGTGCTGAAACTGAATGTGTGCTTCCCCCCGTCCGTGAACAAACATTTAGAGATCAATTATGTAAAACTGGATGTAGGATAATTCCATAGGAAACAAATGACTGCATGGCTCCGCTTCCAGTCTTGCCTGCGTTAACTGTAGCTATCTGTAAGAAGTTGGGCTACAGGCTTCTCAGAGAAAAGATAGAACCCGACTTTGTAAAACATCTTTAATATTCAAATATATAAATAAGCACTACTGAAGAGTAATTCAGAAGACTGCGGTGATTCATTACGAACAGATGCTATAAACGGGAACAGTAACATTGCTAGGTAAGGAAGAAGCAAGCTATTTTAGGAGTCTTGAAAATCTCTTCTAGTTCTTCAGACAGATCATGCTGCTATAGTTATTTTATAAAAAATTATATTCTGAAAAGCACTTTAGTAAAAGAAACCTTTTACTGGAACTATTATTTAACCAAGACCTTCTACAGCACTAAAACACACTGCAATTGAGTTCCTGATACAGTTTTAAGAATGGGAGGGGTGAAAATAAGAACAAAAAAACCCTACCATACCTGCACCAGGAGCTATTTATTAGCATAACACTCTTCCTTTTAAAGATTTTGTAACAACTGAAGTATATACAAAGTCTTACAGCATTTACACAATAAAAAAGTTTCCTATTAGCTGATCTAGTATAAGGTAGTGCTGCAATTTACTTCAAAGCATGAATACAATAATCATGAAGCAGACCACTGTACTTTCAACTTCTCCACTACCACACCACCACTGTCAGTTGAGATGACAGTCAATTAAACCACTGGGAAGACAGATTGTTGAAAGATTTGTAACAGGTTGATTTGCAGCACTAACCATCTTAAGGAGAAAAAAAAAAAAAGAAAAGAAAAGCTACATACTGTCATGTTTCTACACTTTTCTAGAGCTGGAACAAACTTTCACAGCCTTAGATATAACATATGCAAGACAACATAATCACATTTTTTCAGATATAGTTCAGCTACTGAGTGTATTTACTTCTGAATAGGAGGCGTTATATTGATATGGCTGTGTGTTTCCATTTTTGTTCATTAACTGTTCAAATAGGTCTACAAAAAAAATTAAGACAGCATGGAGTTTGTAGTCATGATGTGTTTTGACTAATAAAGGCATTCAGTATCAGCTATAGGATCTAATTATTCCCGTCAAAAGTTTAAGACCAGGAATCTTTGAGTAAAAATCAAACCCACAAAATCCTGCACCTGCGCCATTTTCATGTTGACTCCAACCTTCTTTAAGCTTTTCCAACTGGTATAATACAAAATCATTAAAATGCTTACATCAACCCAAATGCAAGACTCATTTAGTTTATGAGAGGTCAAGCAGGTTCACTAGACTACTTCTGCTGTAAAACAGAGGGAGCTTACCTAGGAAAAAGAAACTTTTACTGAACAGTGCCTTACTACAAGTAGGGATATATAGTTTAACAATGATACATAATTTAAGAACATAGCATTCTTTGCCTTTTAGAAACAGCTTTCGTGTGCCAATAATGCACTTTCTACAAGAGATAAGGCTGCTTTGCCTATCGTCGTATGCCTAAACCTCATATTTTGGCCAATTCCACTTTTCTTCCCCTCAGAGGCATTCTGTTTCAACTTAGAAACGAGTAACGTCAGTTGACAATATCTGTATTAAGACAAAAAGTGACATATATAAAATCCACAAGGAACCACATAAATACCAAAGAAGTCATATAACCTTTCCATGTAAACACTTTGATTATACTGAAGCCCTAATCAGATTCTTGTCTTAAACTTTTGGCAGATAATGTGTATGCTCAGCCAGGCTTTGTAGTTAGTTATTGTTCAAGTGGAAGCCAGGTCAGCTCACAAGTTGACAGGCATGCAACTTGGAAACATTGCACAACAAGCAACACAAAGAGATTTGAGAAGGGTACAAGACTTCAAGGAGACTTCACAACCCTTCACAAACTGAATATTCACAGACAAAGATACAGTCCTTGCTTTTATGTACGGTGTATTTTTCTCACACATGGGACACTTTCTGTGACTCTCTAGCTTGCTTGATGCTATATAACCACTTGATGATTCTGGCATTCCTTTCAATGGCAGAAATGCCATATGGCACACGGTCATTGGCACTGTCATCATTTCTAAGGTCACTGTTGCTGTCCTGAGACTGTTCACAGTCTGAGCTAATCATGCTTGCACTGCGAAAGTTGAGGGATATAATATCAGAGTTAGCCCTTGCAAAGTTTTCCATCCCAAGGTTTTCAAGCTCTTCAGGATCCAGTCCGCAGTAGTTAAAGAATCGTTCAACATCTGCGTCAACGCGAAAGTATCTGTCGCTTAAGTCTGATTTTGATCGCTGTAGGGAGGGTCTTCTACTAACTCCGCATCCAGACTCAACTGCCTCAATCTCTGGGGATTTCAGGGTGGCAATGGCAGCGATTTTGGGCTTTGGAGGCAGAGGTGGGGCGGAACTACTGCAGGGTATTGCTTTTAAGGGCTTTGCACTAGTTACTTTCCTAATGTCTGAAGAGCTGTGAGAGACATGCAAAAAAGTCTCTGCTGACTGATCTAGGAGCCTTCTGCTGACATTGGAGCTGCTCTCCTGTGGGCTGCTCCGGCCCTGCGTGGGGTAAACCTTCAAGGATTCGGCGAACGAGTGTCGGTTCAGCTCTGTCGAATCGGCCCTGTGGGGTGGCCAATTTCGGGGACCGTGCTTATGCCCTGAGCCTGAGCTGGAGCCTTCAGAGCTGTTGATGATGTTCTTCAAAATCTCAAGTTTCAGATTTTCTCTCTGGACTCCACTCTCAGTCTTTGCATTGTTGCTGAAGACTTTCAAGGTGGGGCTCCCCAGCGCTCGCTTGGCCGCAGGACAAACCGGCGGCTTCACGAGCACCGCCGGCTTCACGGGCTCCTGCTTGGCATTGATGACCTCCTGGCTCTTGACATATTTCGCCTTGTCGGCTTCAAGCCTCTCCACTGCGCTCAGTCTTTTTGGATTAGGCTCCGCCTGCCTGCGAAAATAGTCAGGTCCTTTGTTCAGGATGCGGAGAGGAACGGCAGATGTGAAAGTCACGGCAGGGCTGACCGGCTTCACCATGCTACCTGTCGGTAATGTTTCTGTAGGCATGTTTGGTGGTCTTTCCCCCGCAGCCGTTTTGGATTCTTCTCTGGGATCTCCTAAATGCACGGTGCAGAAACATGTACATTAAGCACAATGAATAGCCGATGAATCCTGGGATCTGAGCGTTAGCAGCAGTGCCTCATCTCACAGCTCATTAAATAGCACTGCGTTTCTCTTTTAAAGGCAGCCTTTGTGGGGCAAGGGCACCCGACACAAGTCCGTATTAGTCTGCTCCGCTGGCTCCTTTCTTCTGGCTGAAAGATGCGGGAGTCTCGCCGTTCCCTGTGCGCTCCGGGAGCGGCAGCGATCTGAAAGGCAGAATAACCAACCACACGTTAGCGGGAGCGCCTGACATCAGAGCGATAGCAACAGCCGCCTCCCGGCCCTCCTCTCCCAGCGCCGCCGCTGCCGGCACCGGGACACACTGCCCAGGGTGCCCCTGCCCCGCTCCTGCCCAGCACCCCTCTGCATCTCACAAGACATGTGCTGTTTGATATTTGATATTTTGGTATTGTTTGATATTTACACACTGAGCTCGGATTCAACAAAATTACATTGGGGGAAAAAAAAAAGCCAATCCAAAAAAATTAAGCCCCACCACAATACAGCCATACATTTCTAGAGGGAGAAAGGGAAGCAGAAGAGACAATTCAGGGACCCATCCATCTCCCAGTAAAAGAGCACTTCATATTAATATATTTGACTTAGTGAAGTTGATTGGTGAACATATTTTATGTTTAATCCCCAAACATTTTTCTCCTTATAGGCAACATACTGCATAAATCTCAGCAATCAAGTGTATTTTCCTTGCTCATTAAATCATCCAGAAAACAATATGGTCTAAAAAGCAGAAAGTAAATAGAGACATGTAGAGTTTTAAGTTCAATCCACATCTTTCACTGCTAATCTAATATAGAATCAATCAATAAGGAGATGTCAGTAAATCCACAAATTCCAGTTCCAGTTCCTCATCTGTTTGAACATCCATAGCACTGGTACTCCAGCAATAAAAGGCTTTCCAAGGTCTCATGATCACCTTACAGGCTTAACAGAACAACAAAAAATGGCTTTGGTTTTTTATGTAAGATTTTGGGAACACGCAAAACCATTGTGACTGGGTTTGAAAAAAAGAACTTGTCTTCAACATGTAAATACAATCATCCGGATTTTCTATCAAGCAGTAAGTACAAATGAAATTTAACTTCATCTAAATGATTTTAAGGTTTTATCACTGAGATTGTCACAACAGCCTAAAACCCAAGACCACGGATGATATTACAAGTGCTGAAACAATTTTTCCAACATGAGGCACTGAAGGGCACTTATCACAGAATCTACTTTTCAAGCAGTGATTTTGCTAATGGGTCTCATTTGTTTTATTACTGCCCCATTAATCTATGCTGCCCTCTTTAATATCCTATTTCTATTATCACTGTGATCTTCAGGGAGAGAAAGAAAACAGCTGCTACTTCTTCACTCTATCCTAAAGAAAACAGAGCAGCATACTTCCCTGGGATGTCTTGCTTTCATCCTGTGTATTCTCATCCATCAATACCCAATTTACTAATACAGGGTTTACATTGTTTTGGCAAAAAAACATAAAAAAAACAAAAAAACCCCAACACAAATAAAACAATTCCAGTTGAAGTTACATTAACAGTAAAAACAAAACAACCTCAACTACTGATGCCCAGAAATATGTGATATATACATTAAATATTTTCTACATATTATTCAAGGTCAAAGCAAGCACATAAAATATACAAATGCTATAATGAGATTATAGGAAAAAGCTAAGCTTTCTCCTGAAGGCTCACTGTCAAAAGCATTCTTCAAACACAAACTAACATATTTAGGTGGGTGATAAACCAGACAAACATTCAGTGCAACTGAAGGGTAGTGAAAGGTTAATTAAGCTTCTCTTTTAATGTTGTTTTATAAATCCTAGTGCTAACTCCTCAGCAGTTTGACTTCCTGAATTTAAACTAAGTCTCTCTGAAAGAGAAAAAACTTTCCTCATTTGAATCAACATATTTATTAGTACTGTTTTGAAATTAAGCATGAAACTTCCAAATGTGCAGAAGGCAATTGCAACATGTATCTGCACACACATTTCTCTTCCACACACACAAAGCAAATCTTTCCACATTGCCAGCTCAGAGCTGGATGGCTAAGTGCCTGTATAAATACCCCATTGATGTGTATATTTAATACCTGTGTACAGAAATCAAATCTATGTGAGAGCAGGGATTTCATCAAGAGGAAGAAAACCCCACAAACAACCAAACTCTTAAGTGACAACACTGTCACCCAACTGAGTTAATACTACTTGAGTAAACAAGTCAACTTTCCTCCTTGACCACTGTCATTAAAGGTGACCATGGTCCTGCCCTTGAGGACAGCTGCCAACTCCATTCTCCTCCTGGTGAGCAGCTCCACACACCAGTACAGATCAGAGCTACAGGAACTGAGGGCTCCAGCTCCAGGCTGCTTTTGGGAAGTCTTTTCCCAGCATTTAACAACTTCTTCACTTTGGATAGCCTTCATCAATGTCAGCAAGCATTGCCTAGTAGCCTGAGCATCCACATTGGCTTTAACATCCCACTTAAAGGATAAAAAAAAAAGAAGAAAAATAAATCCCGCCATGAGTGCATGTTTATCTGAGAGAACAAGTGTGCTTGTTTGCAAGCATGCATGGAGCCAAGTGCCCCGGAGTCAGTGGAAATATGCTGCAACTGGCAACGTGCTTCAGGCATGTCTAGAAAGAAAAGCAAGGAGCTGGTGAGGAGCCAGGACAGAAATGTCCACCTGAGCCAGCACAGGGAGCCTGAGGGGGAACAGCCAAGTGGTTACGTGGAGGCTTTGTACCTGTAGGGCTGCTGCGATAAATTAAGGAACATGCAGCTGTGAAAAGGGATCAACTTTTTGTGTATTGTTTAAATTGCTTCATTGCACTGAAGTGCTGCATTTGAATATCACCAGAAAGCTTAGTCAGTATTCTCATCTTAGAGAGATAAAAATTACCAACCAGATATAGTTAAAAAAGAAAATGTGATGAAAGAGAGGTGGATGAATGTAAAATCTAATGAAACTTCTGCCTGTGCTGGTGATGGCTGCAGCCCAATCCTACTGCTAACTGGGAAAGTGAGTTCAATTCCTACCAGCCTCTCTTCTGTCTCTGGGCACCTGAAACACCACAGCGACACTACAGAGCTTTGCTACTTATAAATTTTATTGTTAATGATAGAGGCTGAGAGCAGCAGTACAGTGTTGTCTCAGGAAGACTTAGATTCCAATTGGGAAAATCACCATTGCAGCAACCAGGGCATAGAAATGCTTTTTCTGGCTTAAACTCCAAAGAAACACACTGCTTAGGCATCTGAATTCCGTGTTGGGTACATCTCTGGTACCAGTAACACTCTGCAGAAATTCAAAGTTTCATTACCTACTCCCAGAAAATGTGTGAAATATACCTAGAGATCCAAGAAATGTTCCTTTCTCTCTGTTTACATCCAGAGGTCTTGCTCTATAGGTGTAATCCTTCTGTTCATTGAACTGTGTTTTTCAGGATTTACCCTGGATTTCCATTATTACTCTTCCTTACAAAATTACAAGACTTAAGAAATCACATAAAGAAAAACAAAGACAAAAAACTTATGCATGCATTCAAACATAGTTCTGTTTAATACCATGAATACATTAATGAAACCTTTCTGAAAGGTCTTACAGAACTCCTGTAATACCCCACAACTACTGCAGATCTGCTGAGTAGAATACAAAATGCACAAAGTTTTGGGCTTTTCAAGCTGCATTTTCAGCCATATACTTCAATTCAGAATTCCTTTGTGGCAGAGGAGGAGGAAGAGATTCAAAGTGCTTAATTCATTCTAGGCATCACACTCTAATCACTCTTGACTCCATAATATGTTTGTCAGATTCATATTTAAATAACCAATGCACTATCTACACGATTTAGGGGACCACAACACAGTCTAGAGCAGCAATAGCTATACAACTAACATTAACTACAAATGAATCTCCTGTGGAATAGTCTTTCCTTGATTTAAAGCCAAGGCAGTAGGAGGAGATAAACTATGCAGAAACTTTTGAATCCCAGGTCCATATATTCTAAATATGCAGTTTCTTGAAATGTATGAGAAATTTATGAACAGACCCCATTGTGGCAAGTATTTATTTCCAGCACTATTATGAATACAATAGCATTGTACAATAATAGAGTTCATTTTTCCCTCTCATACCTAAAACTGCATTCTAAACACAGACTGAGTGATGTCAACTGACAGTAAATAACACACTTCTCTCCTCAGTTCTGTGGTGCATTGTAGCTCCTACACATTGGCCATGTTTCAGCCAGTCTTTGTCTAGAAGTATCCACAGAAAGGCATTACATATTTTAGCAGTATTCAAGTTACAGAAAAAGCCATGTGAAAATGTGGTCCAAATGAAATGAGTGAAATTTCTGTCCTTGACTTTGGTGAAGACATTGCTTTACCTGATGAAGTTACAATGAAGCTCATTCTCCTAATTCATCCCTCTGGGACAGCAGATGAAGGGATTGCACAGAAGGGAGGATGATGATGTACAGTGGATAAATATAACGAAGGCTGACAGCCTTTACTCTGCTTTCCTTGATATTTAAAGGCCTGTGTCAATTTTATTTTCCCGGTGATAAAATATAACTACCACTACCTCAAGATGTACCATAAACATGACATAAATTCCAGTATAAGTAATCATGAAGTGGCCGCAATAGGACACAAAGAGATCACAGAACAAAACTTGCACAGGAACACATGATACAGATGGAAAATGCCAGGTTCCTCTAACACCTGGGTGCACTTCAGAGCTGCAGGTCTCCTTATGAAGATGTTGGTTTTTTAACAGTCACTGCAAAACCTACAAATGAGAGCTTCACTGAGAATGACTGGCTACAGGTCTATGTGCTAAGTTATACTAATGTACATGCTTAAAACTGATACAAGCTATTCTGTGGATAGTTGCCATTGTAAACCTCACATCTATATGTTACTGAGTTTAACAAAACAGGCAAAGCCTAAGTAAACTTGGCTGAAATTGATAAAAGGTCATCCATATCCAGAAGGGCAGCAGTATTTCATTTTTTAAACCAATTTTAGATAAAGATGTGTATGCTGTGGAGTCTTGGTCGCACATAATATTAACTGTCAAGATAAAGCATGAGGAGATGAAATAGTCTTTCAGATCTACCATGACTCAAAATACTAATGAAAGTGCCTATTTTCAATTCTGTTCCTCCCTAAAACATGAT